AAATTGATTCAAATTTCGTGTCGTCGCGCTTTATGTGCTTTACGACCAATATAATTTTGAGCATGTCATATAGTTTTTTTTATGCAGGTATCTTTTATGCTGGCAGAAAGGCTGGACCACCTCAAGAATTTGACTGTCGCCAATCACATAAGGAATACGGTATACTAAATACTCTGTACTCAGTAGGATCTGTGTGTTACACTTACTAAAATGAAATTTCATTTTTTTTACTGCAAAAATATTAGCATTAATAAGTTATCTGAGTGGGTTTCTGGTATTGCTAAATCGTACATGTTACATGTACAGCAGTAGCCGGTCGTGTAGACTGGCCGTAAGAACAAAACTGTGCTTATAAACGTTGTCACTTGATCCACAAAGATATATAGTGTTAGATTGACGTGTGAACAAAAAGAAGTTATATGTGCTGATGACAATTACTACTGTAAGCGAATTGAACTTGACCATTCTTTCCTTAGCCGTTTTTTTAGACAACAAAATTCTGATACTTCTTAATAGGTAGACGCGTTGCCGACAAGGGCGTAGAATAAGGTTTTATATGCAGTGGTAAGATAACAGCACAACATGAGAGGTGTCAGTTTTGGTTATTATAAGTAGGCCCGTAAAGAAACGTTAATCAACTTAGAGCCTAATATTTTGGAATCATCAATTAAGTATCAAATAAAAATACCGCCGTCAACAACAACAACAGCAAGGCGTCTTGCGACGCATGGTTATATTCAAAGGCTATAACCATAACAGGCACAGATTGGAGTGTCTAATGACTAATTCTAAATCAGCACAAAATGAACACACTTCAAGGCATAAAAAAATGCTACAGCTTGAATATTTTTATTAAATATTCAAACTGTAACACTTTTAATTTTCTTTCAAAGTAGCGAGTTTGGTTTGCGAAGTGGTTAATAGGCAGTTTATTACAAGCTTAACCAGGCAGTACAAGCGGGTATTTGATGCAAGCTGGACAGATATTCTTTGCATTGATGCAATCTAGGTTTCAGAAACGGCCCGTGAAATCGAGCACGGCGCTAAACTAAATATTTTATTTAGCGGTTTTAGACTGAAGTGCAGGTGCTTCTGTTAAGGTACAGTGATAGCCAACAACAATAAAGAGACTTTGTTAAGATCACTAGCGTAATCGTTTATGAGCATGGTAAGTATGATGCTAGGGGCTCAGTCTTTTGTACCGGTAGAAATATTTACACGGCTTACTGGGAACAGCATTTTGTAGCAAATGAAACGCAGATTTATGAAATTAAAGAAGTCGATTTAGGCACATGGGGGACTCAGAGGATTTGGACTAATTATCCCGCCGAAGCGAAGCGAAGGCGGGAAGGCAAAAATCTGGAGTAAAACCGAAATTACCGCCGCGTAGCGGCGGCGCTCGGCTAGTTTAAATCAGAGGGCGTTCTGTGGTCGACTTGTTCGGGTCAATATTTCTTCTTCTTGGGCATTATGGGTTTGGCACGTATTGGCTGGAGCTTCGGGCTGGCCTGCAAGTTCGCAAAACTTTTGGCTGCTCGCTTTTGTAGCTCCAACCTAGTTAATGGTCGGTCACCGTCCTCATCGTCACTCCTGGGCGATTCTGGCTCATCCTCAGCTATCGAGGTGTTCACTGAAAGTCGTCTATCGAGACTGAAATCGATGCTCATCGAACTACCCGTCACTGCCGACTGCACGGGGCTCGTTGCTAAGGAAGAGCTTGCTCCTTCGTACCCACTGCTAGATGTAGGGCCATCCAAAAACTCGGGTAGAAGTGCACGCACAGCATTGACAGATCGCGTAGGGTCGCTGGGGCGTAGATTCGCTCCTAGCGAGGCACGTTGAGCTTCCACTGGGCTCTTGTATTGTATGCGACGAGAAAACTGCTCGATAAGATCGTTGCTTCGCTGCTCAATGATCTGTTCAATATGTAGCCAGCACCGTGAAGGAAATGGACGCTAACAAGAGTGGCAAACAGCAGCAACTAACCGCTAGAAACTGGAGAATATTTCCTTCTGTGATACCTTGAGCAGCCAAAAGATCATTCATGGAGTTAATGCGTGCCTATAGAATATCCAAGCAAAGGCAGTGAATGAGATAATGAGAAATCTGTGGGTTCTAAAGCCTGCAGAGCAGCATGATCCTACCACCATTGCAAGCTGGTCCTCGGACTGTTTTCTCGTTCGCTTCGAAGGGTCAGAGCCATTTCCACCGGACGCTCCAACTACCGGCTACAACAGGAACGTTGTGAGACGGATTTCACCAATGCATTCGGAAGAAAACTCACCGGCATGACGTCGTTGCAGCCCAGTGCGTTGTAGAGTCGGTCAACAACCCGTGCAAGCGGCTGAAATTCTCTAGCAGCTGCAGCTCGAAGCCGCTCTACCTCTGCGTTTTCTTTCAGAATACTAGATAAGTAAAACGCGTAGTTGTCAGCATTCCGAAGCCTCTCGTGGTTCTACAGCTGCAAACGTACTTTTGGCGCGTCTCGACAAGGTCGTCGACCATGCGCTTTCGAGCGTTAGCACTGCCGTCTTGCATTTCGCTCTTCAGTCTACAATATGCAAACAACGGTGCGTTTGTCGATATACCTTAATAAACAATCAACATGTCAGCGCTACGTACTTCTGGATCTCTCGCTCCAGAGCCTCTTTTTCATCCTCAAGCTGCTCCACTTCGTTGTTGGTGCTCTGAACGTAGCGAAAGAGGGCGAAATTCTCCTCTTCCTTCCTGGAGTACACTTCAACGAGCTCATGATAGTCGTCCACTCCCATCTCCTGCTGCAGAGCCGCAAATGTTGTCTCAAACTCCTGTAGCTTCTCGTTAATTGATGCGATATTCTGCTTGTCTTCCAGCATCTACACAGCGCACCAGTGTCAGAAGTGAGTCCATTCCTTACCGAATTACGATCCATTACCGTCATATCGAGCTTTTGCAGTGTTTTCTTGAGCTGCAGCTCATCCTCCAGCTTCATATTCCCACGAACAAAGTCGTCGGCAAGATCCATCGGATCCTGCTCGAGAATCTGCTTCCGATAAGCCTCAGCGCTCTCTTTCTCGCGCTTGATTATCGATGCAAGACTCTGATAGACCTGGTCGAAAGCCTCCTGCTCGTCCACGTTTTGACCGGATAAAGAGTTCGCCTGCGATAGAATCTACAGAGATAAAAAAAATGACACATAAGTGTCAACAAGTGTTCAAGCTTTAGTCGGTAGAGTGTACGCACCCGGTCGCGCTCGGCTACGATCTGAGTCGACTGGCGGAAAGTCTCTTGCATTTGCTTCTGAATGTCACGCAGACGACGTTGGTTCTTCTCGAACACGGTCTGGCTCAGTACTCGGTTGGCTCGCAGCTCGTCCACGCGGTTGCGAAGTTCAGCATTGTATGCAGCCATTTTGCTCTCACGGGTTTTGCACGCCGAGAGGCGGTTCTCGAGCTTCATGAGCTCTCGTTGCTCGTCCGCCATACGAGTACGAACCGCATTAACGCCTCCACCACGTTGATCACTCTCGCCACGCTTTAATCGCAACCCTTTAAGCTCTTCGTGGACCTTTTTCCAGTGATCATCCAGTTGACGCAGTCGATGCTTCTGTTCTACAAGTAACCGAGCATACTTGTCTCCTTGCACTTGGAGATTGAAAAGGTGCTCACTCTGCGCCTTAGCTTTCGTCTTGGACATTGCGAAGCTTAATTCCTCCAGGAATTACGAAGGAAATGATGAAACGCGCAAGTATTTTTGGTCTCGTGGGGGCATCCACAGCATCCTTCGTATTTGCCTGCGATGTCACGGAAAACACCTCGTTCGAAGCTTTTAGCTGGTAAAGGAATCCAAGAAAGATTTGTGCCCTCGAGGCCTCAGAAGCTTCCTACAATGAAACGCGGGGGCAGCCTTCGTGTGGGTCGTCTTGTATTTGTACGGCCATGGAACGAAACATTTTAGAAACCTCAGTAGCTTGTGCTGAGGTTGTTCGTGTTGGACAGGACGCTCGGAGTTCCTCAACGTGGGATAATCAGTCGTCAAGTGTATTTGTACAGGAAGAAGAGCGTCGAGTTCAAGAGGAGCTAGCTGAAATGCTCGTGGTCAAGCTCGCAAACAAGGAAAAGGAAGTGGAAATCTTGCGGTGCAAGCAGAACGTGGTGGATCAGCAGTTCGCAGGATACGATCGGCAACTACAGCAACAGCAGGAAGCGCATGCACGGGTCGTTGGTGAAATGACGGTGATGAACCAGGAGCTGCAGCGACAAGTGCAACTTCTGCAGATCGAGTGTGAACGGGTACGATCGAAGCTGCTGAGCTCTTCCTTTTCATCTTCAGCGCTAATACATTCTGTAGCTTCAAGTTGATAGTGAAGCGCAACACGCTGCTGCACTTGAGCAGAGGAGGCTGCGTGAGAAAGAGCAAACACAAACCAGGCTCAATAACGAGACAAGCCAACGAGTTGTGCAAGAGCTACGAGTAGAACGACAACAGATTGCCAACGATCGATTCGCTCTAGAAAGCACAATACAGAGAATGCTACAGGATCAGCAGGCTCAAAGCAGCTCGCTAGCTCAGCTCGAAGCGAGGTGTGCTCAGCTCGAAGACGAGCTTCAAAGTGCAGAAGAAAGTTGCCAGCAGCTCCAAGAGGTGTTGTGAGTTTGCTTGTTGTGAGGTGGATCTAGCATCTCATTATTGAGTGTCGAGCAGGCTTTGGGACACGAAGGGCAGCAGCGTAAGGATGTTGAAGCAACTTCGAGGAAGCTCGAGGAGGAGAAACTTGCTCTGGAAGAGAAGCAGCGGGCACTGATGAAGGTAACGCTCGTCGACTTGGCTGCTGTAGACGGAGGCTGACTGATCCGTGTGCATTAAAGACCCTCAAAAGTGCTAGTTCAAAGGTCACAGACCTGGAGAGAAAAAAAAGTGAGCTAACTCAGGCTGAGAATCAGCTTACAGAGCAGCTCGCAGCACTGAAAAGGGAGAACGGCGAGCTGAAGGCTCGCAGAGGTCAAATGAGCTCGCAGACCAAACATCTTCAAGCTCGAATAGCTGCTCTCGAAAGCGCCAACACCGTTCAGGAGAAGAAACTGGAGGACGCCACCACCGAGCTGGACAGCGCGCGCAAGTATTGTCGCGACTCCCAGTTCCGTACCAAACAGCTTCAAGAAGAGATCGTATTTCTGAAGAACCGAAAGCCAGCGGCAACTGACAACGCAGCCACTTTTGAGGTTCAGGACGCTGTCCCCGAGACCGACACAGCAGATGACATGCCGTGCTGGATGAAAGGTTAATTGGAAATAAAAAAATGAAACAGCGGGTTATCGAGCTTTTTATGCATCGGCCACTGCAACCGGAGCAGGTATGTCTGCCCCATAGCCTTCGGGAGCGGGTCTCTTGCCTAATGCACATTGAATCAGCAGCTTCATCTTGGGATCAACGGCGTTTTTCTTCTTGCGCCGACCCCAGACCTTGCCGCTCACACGTTCTGCGCGCTCCTGATCATTCAGCACGCCCTGACTCAGTTTCTTGTTCTCAAAAAAGTCTCGCACGCAGAAGATTGTCACTGTCTCGCCGTAGTCTGTAAGCAACAATAAATAAAACAGGATCATTAATTCTCATTATCCTAACAATAAATGCTAAACAGATCTCCGTACAGTGGAAATTGGTCTCGCGGAATTCGTTCTTGAGTACGGGCTTCTTTGGCTTGGCAGGCTCAGCCTCTGGTTTCTCTACCTCTGTCAAAAATACAGCACCACCAAGTGTCAAATTCCAGTTTTTTCAATCGCTCTTAGTGGTGAGGAACAAGAGCAGTGCGTTTGTACATGTGCCTACCTTTTGGGTGGGTAGGACATATGTCCTCACGTGCCAAGCAGCACTTTTTGCAGGCTTGGATGGTGCAACCGGCGGCCACGGTCTTCTTGTTAGTGCAGAACTTACAGGAGCGTCCTGCCGTCTCGCTCTTGGCGCGCTTTGCAGGCGGCGCTACGACCTCCACCTCCTCCATAGCTACTACATTCTCTACATTCTCTACATTCTCCACCGGTATCACGGCATCCACAGGTATCACGGCCTCCACGACCTCCACCTCCTCCATAGCCACGTCCTTGGGTGTGCTCGCCACAGTCTCACGTCACTAAAACGAAGGATGAAGTAATCATTTAATTCAAAACCCTGTGAAATCAGATATCGGCTTTTCACAACAAACATTCGAGAAGAGCGACGTCATCGTTGCCAACTTCCAGAGAGAAGCGAGACGCTCGACGCTCCGGTCCCATTATACATAGAGGGGCAACACAATGGTGAATCTGCACGTGAAGACGACGGCGGGGAAGAAATTCTCGGTGGACTTGGCGCTGGAAAACTGCGTTCTGCAGTGCAAGGAGGCGCTCGTTACCCACACCGAGGTACCCGCCTCGTTGCAGCGACTTATTTACAAGGGCAAGGTGCTTAAGGACGATCAAACACTCGAGAGCTACGGTACTTGCGCTGCAATCCACTGGGCGCAACGAGTGCGCTTACTTAACGGTTAATTATTGCAAACATGTTGCAGGCATTCAGGCGGAAGATACCATTTACTTTGTCAAGGGCTCGGCGCGACCAGCTACGTCAGCACCTGCTGCTAGTACTACGACTCCAGCTGCTGCTCCCGCTGCTACGCCAACCCCGGCTGCAGCGCCTACGACACCCGCTAACCCGTTCAATTTCCCGCTATTCCCTGGAGCTGCCGGAGCCGGAACGGGCGCTTCTAACAACGGTAACATGTTTGGCAATGCGATGGGCGCTGGTGGCATGCCCAACATGCAGCAGATGCAGCAGCAAATGATGGAGAACCCGGAAATGGTACGGCAGATGATGGACTCGCCCATGATGCAGAGCATCCTCAACAACCCGGACATCATGCGCAACCTCATGCAGAGCAACCCGGCCATGCAGCAGCTCATGGAGCAGAATCCGCAACTGAATCACATTATGAACGACCCAGAGCTGCTCAGACAGAGTATGGAGGCCATGCGCAACCCCGCGGCGATGCGTGAAATGATGCGGAACCAAGACACGGCGCTGCGGAACATTGAGAGCCACCCAGAGGGATTTAATGCGCTGCGACGCCTGTACCACGACGTGCAGGAGCCGCTGATGGACGCTGCTGCTAGCGGGACCCCTGCTCCTAGTGGTCCGGCGTTCACTATGCCTGGTGTTGCAGGTGGAACTACGAACGCCAACTCGACGAGCAGCTCGACGACGCAGTCACAGGCCTCCAGCGCCACTTCGTCGACCCCCGCTGTCGCTGCCAATCCGTGGGCTTCAGCAGGTGCTGCTACCGGTACTGCATCTACTGGTGCTGCTGCGAACCCTTGGGGTAGTGCTGGCTTGGGAGGCCTTGGTGCAATGGGAGGCATGGGCGGTCTGGGCGGCAATCCGGAGATGATGGCGCAGATGATGCAGAATCCCATGTTCCAGGCGGCGTTGGATCAAGTGACGAGAAACCCGGATCAGTTCGTTGCGCAGATGGAGGCGATGAACCCTCAGATGGCAGCGATGATGAACGCTAACCCACAGATGCGGCAAATGATGTCGAGCCCAGAGTTCCTGCGGCAGGCCATGAACCCGCAGAACATGCAGGCTATGATGCAAATGCAGAACGCCATGAGCCAGTTGCGTGGGTCCGGACTGATTCCAGGGTGCGTATTTGACAGACTTTCGACATTGGTGACAACTTACTGACTGGGATTTCTTGTACAGACTCGAAGGTATGGACCTTGGTGCTGGCCCTGGTGCAGCAGCCGCTGGACCAGCAAACCCTGCAGCGGCTAACCCGTTTGCGATGTTCGGTGGCTTTCCCGGCGCCGCAGCAAGCACCCCCGCAGCCCCGGCAGGCAACCCGGAAGAGATGTATGCGTCGCAGCTGACGCAGTTGAACGATATGGGTTTCTCCAATCGGGACCAGAACATCCGCGCGTTACAAGCCACCTTTGGCAATGTGCAAGCCGCCGTGGATCGCCTCCTAAGCGGCTCCATTTAGTAAAGGCGCACCCGAAGTACTTTTTACGCCAAATAGTATCCCGCCTTCTAATAGAAGAAACTCCAAAACCCAGCTCTTTTAGAAATAAATTTACTGTTTTTTTCGTCATTGAATCGATTGAAACAATACAAAATTAGCGAATTTTAATTAGATGTGCTCCAGCGTACGGTACATGTATTCATCTTCGTTCCGTTGTCGGTGCTAAATCTAAATTCCAAGAGCACTTTACCCTATCCTAATTACTGGTGAGTCACCAGTAGTTAAATTTTCGATAATTATTTTTGTAGAATTCAATAAAAAACAACATTAGTACGAAGTTTCATTTTTTCGTTTTAGGAAGGGTGTTCCCCACGCTGATCGGTTGAAGTGATGAGGGCGAATAAGTGATGTTCAATTCCTTTAGTTAAACAATGTGCTCATTGTGTCCCAAACCTGTTTGTATTTTACAATTAGCATGCATTGGTTGCTCTGCCTCGGAGTTTAGCGTGCATTAGAACGCTTATCGCAGTGTTTCTTACTTTTCGAAATAATCCAATAAATCCGCTCTTTGAAATCACTGTGTGGGTGATTCGTTAAAACCCAAAACCCAAATATTGCAAATTCCATTTTACGAACACTGTCCATGGAGCAAGGCAGGGCTCGGTCGTTGCTCCGGGCGAGCGCCACCGACGCCGATGCCGTGCGTCAGTACCTGCAGTCCATCGAAGCAGACGAGGTGCGTGCAGTCGCTCATAATCTTGCAACTAAAGGGGTCTCCTAACCGGTTTCGTTCGCTCAGCTAAACGGCCTATTGGACGGCATCGCCCCTCGCGACGCGAAATGCGGCAAGAAGAAAAGCGAGTTCCTCGTCCAGGACGATTGGCTGCCTTTAGTGCATCTGCTGGTGCAATGTGAAGCCACACGACTGCGCGCTGCCTCCAGAGTCATCCAGGTATTGCGTCGAGGCAGTCCCAGCGAGCTGGAGAGCATGCAGCTGCTCACCGAGATCAATCTGGGCTACTCCAGTGCGCTGGACGAGCTCCAGGAGCTTCAGAAGAAGAAGAAGAAGAAGTTGCAGCACTCAGTCAAGAGGAAGAAGCTGCTGGACGAGATCCACGTGGTGCTGGAAATTGTCTTCAGCTTCTTAGAGGAAGTGGTGACCGACGCCAAGCCCAGTAATGGCAAGGTGCTGCCACAGCTGCTTGGTCTGGTGCCTTATTTTCTAGGGATGAGTGGAGAGCTGAAGGACGAGACCAGGCCCAGTGAGAGCCTGGCCAAGCTGCTGGAGCTGCCGTGGAGCTGCCAGACGGTGCCCAGTCTACTGGACGCGCTGGTGGAGGACAGTGCGCTGATGTCGAAGGAGAGTTGGCAACAGCTTCAGGTGCGGAGAGGAAGGAAAAGTGTACTGAAGAAGGCAAGTTGTGGTGCTTAAATGGAGGTTTATTCTGTAGGAGAATGTGGAGCGAATGGTGACGACGTCGCCTGAGATGGCGAGCGAGACGATGAACCCGGTGATTCGCGAGTGTGTGTTGGTGGCTAACGTCACGGGTGACCACAAGTGGATTGGTATTGCTCGTTATCTGCTACGTCAGCTTCCGGTGCATTTACGGCAAGAGGCAGAGTTTAATTTGCAGATGGTACCGTCGTGTCTTCTTCTTCTCTCTTAAAAACGATGGTGACAGTGTAGTATCGTAATTATCTCCGTTGTCGTGTTGTCTCTAGAGCTTCAGCCAGTCGCGACGCATTGTTTCGCTTGTGTGCGACTCCATTCGATCCTGCCAGATGACAGAAGGACACGACGATGTTGCCATGAAGGATGCGAGCAGTCTGTTCGAAGATCCAGAATGTGGCGTACTGGACCTCAAGGCAGACTGGAGAGACCTGTTCCTGTTGCTGCATGCACTGCAGGCGTCCAAGCCGATTCTGCACCATCGAACTTCATCCTCCCGCGTCGCAACTGGAGCCTCCGTCTTTGCAGACATCGAGCAGGTCGCGTGGTGGATTGTGCAGAGTGATTTTAGAGCCTTTACAAGTGCTGCATTGAGTGGCACGACCTCGCGAACAGCAAGTAAAACCATAGAGAAGCACGCGCTAGAGCAAGTGGAGCTCTTGGTAAACTTTGGAGGCAAACAGATCCACTCTCGTGAGTGGAAAGCTCTGCTTTTGATGGACCTCGCTTTCTTCTGGATAGAGCTCAGCAGTTCGACCAGTGACGACGACAAAGCTGCGATTTTCAAGTCTACAGTGGCGCTGACGCTGTTACTGGCGATATTCGAGACGGTTCTCACTACGTTTCCCTCGCTACTGCCTTTACCCACTCACTAACTTGTGACTGTAATTTGAATAGGCCCCAGAGACTCGAGCTGAAGTGCTCTGCAGTCTCTTTGAACGCTCTCAGAAGCCCACACAAAGAAAGGTGAGGGGGTGAATCACTGGGACGGAAGACAATCTGTGGGCTTATGTGAGTCATTTGATCTCCTTGTAGGTTGCTGCACAAACTCTTTCTCGACTATTTTGCTCGCAGTCGGGGAAGCTATTTCCGCATCTTAATTCCATTCAAGATTGGCTGAGGTAAACGTTACCCCGTCGTGACGTTCATGAACGACTCTAGCTGACGTCGTGTAACTGTGTACAGTATGCAGTTTCAGCGGTCATTCCACAATGCGCGCGAGTTTTTCCTCATCGCCTCTCGTTTGGCAACAACGTACAAAGGTTCACTTGTTGCTGACAGTCATAGCTGGAGAAGAAGCTAACACTTTTTGTATGCCATTTACTACTTAAGATCTGTATAACTTCCTCATGATATTTCTACGGAAGCTTCTGTCAACTGGCAACCGGTTGCATCAACAGTTTGCTGTGGACATGTGGTGTGCGTGGCTAGACCACCGATTGCCTTTCAACGAGCAGCAAGAAGTACGTACTGCTCTGGCTATTGGCTCTGGTTCCATAATAGGCTGAATGACTGTTGTTTGTCTGTAGGAAGAGATTGTTTCTGCGCTCAAAAACAGTGTGGCAGCTTGCCATGCCATTCAAGCCTGGTCGTTCGGACGGTTGGAGCAGGTATTTCAGTACAGTGGCGTTGGTATAGAGGAGGGACCCGCCATCTTGTTGCGGAAGAGCTCGTGGGAAGAGCTGCACCGGTTCTTCTCTCAAGAGGTGGGCAAATTCATCGTGCCAACAGCTTCGGCGATCATGGAGTACGGAGACGCAGATGACGAGAGCGACGAGGAGGAGGCAGCTTTACCGCGATTTCGATTCAGCTCTCTGGACGCATTCTATCAGCGGAATTCTAGTCTGGATGGCGCGGCCTCCACTGGGTTAGTGTTCCAGAAACTGTTGTCGTGCCTGATCCAGTTTGAGAAAGCTGCGTGGCAGTCGAAACGCTCGTCTGAGGGTTTGCCGATCGAGGGTCTCAGTGAGAACGACAGTGACATTAAGCAGTGGCTCGTCGACTTGGTTTCCAACTGGAAATATTTCTTTTATTGGATCTGCCAGGACTCTGACAACTTACTGAGTCAGTCAACGCAAGGCAGAGCTTGCGACAAGAGTGCGTGGTGGAAACTTGTTGCTCGTATCTACGTTGGCTGTGGGATTTGCAACATTGCGATCGAAATGTTGCTGTGGATGAGGCCAGAGGGAGAAACAGACACGCAAGACTTGTTGGCGCTGCGTGGCGATGATTGTGGGAGTTCGGTCTGGTCTCTGATGGAAGTGGAGTTCAGTTTGCATCGGATGGTTCAGAAGCTTACGTCGCATTATGCGAACGAGATGGAAGCAAGTCTATCGAAAGAATACGTCAGGGCTGCATCGTATGGGCTTCACCGAGTGCTACAGCGCGAGAAGCTTCAACTGTTGACAGCGATCCAGAGTATCCTTCAGGATACGTCTGCGTCAGATTCAATGCAGCAAAGGCGACTTGATGGAGTGTCGTTTGACGCTGTTCTGTTCACTCTGGACGCGTGTTGCAGCTCACTCGGTGACGACGACTTGTTCGGGGCGTTTTATCCCCGTGAAATCGAAGAAGACGAGCTCAGTGAAGCTGGTCGTATACTCGAGATCCTGCTGTCTGTCTACGTAAGTGTTCGTGATCGTATTGTGTCAGTGACGAGCCCGTCTGACGCAGACGACCTCTCCAGTGACACAATTGGTGGGAGGGACGACAGAATCCGGTTCTCGCTGTATGCAGCTTCCATTTCCTCCAAATTCCCAACTTCAGCGCGACATCTCGTCGCTCCGAGCAAAAACGCAAGAGCATTTGTGCTGCTCGAGACAAAAGGCGGAGAAGAGATGCTGGAGCACGTTTGCAGTGCGATCGGACGGGTGCTGGACGTGATGATTAAGGCCTCAAGTGTTTACTCGGTGCACACGCAACTTGGTGAAGTGCTGTGCAACAAATCGAGGAGAGGACAGAATCCGTGGCTCGAAGGTCAAGGAAACGCTGGCGTCAATAATTTTGGCCATTTATCTCGCTACTTCTTGAGTGACGTCCAGAAGTGGGTTCCGCTGGATGGACTTACGAAGCTGAGTGTGTCGTGTGCATCGCTTAGTAAGCGGCTTCGGGATGTTGCCACTGAGATAGTGGAAGGGAGCGAGGTCTGTTCAGATCTCCACGCACTCTCTTCTCTTGCCTACGATATCTTGTGCGTCAATGTTGTGTACAACCCACGACTTCTTCGACTGCTCATGAGTATCTGTCTTCCAGTTCCGCCGGCACTTTGCATCCAGACGTTTGTGGTCTTGGAGAGCAAGATTGAAGGAATCATGCACGCCTGTGGCATTAGCTCAGCAGAAGACGAAACCCCGTCAACCAACTCGAGCAAGAACCATAGACAGCGCTGGTCAGCTCTCAAGAAAAGCAGGCGAAACGATGGAACACAAGCACGCCGGAAGCGCCTACGACAAGACCTTAGTGCCAGGTCTTCGTACGGGTTACGAGTGGATTCCGGCTCGGAATCCGACGCTAGCTGCTCTTCCGACTCCGACGGCTCCGTTCGATCTGAGGATTCCAGCGCAGCCGTTGAGGCTACAACGAACCGAGAAGCTTCACTCAGCCGTGAGCGCATTCCACATCTCCAGTCTCATGCTTGCCAAAGCATCGCCATCTTGGCCGTCCTGGCTGTTCTCGAACAATCTCAAGCCACACTGCTCAGTGCCATCACTGCAAAAACCAGCAGCAGTGAGCCCTGCTCGTTTCCCCATCGCCAGGAAATTCTGGGTTACCTTCGGATTCACGAGCTAGTCAACAAGGCGATTAGCGACGATCGAGATTTCTCGTGGGGGACCCGGAAAGTGCTGCTGAAGATCCTTCACATGATTGAATTAGGTCTACGTATCGGCAAGGCAAGTGGGGTGCTGCGGACAAGAGACGAGTCTGGCCTATTGAACGACACCACAATCTGGATCTATGAATCTTCGGTCACGTCGGCACTGAATAGTCGAGCGTGGGTTGAAGGGATCAAGGATGCAAGTCAAGACCCTGGAACGAAAGCAAAGGTGCGTTCTACTACTTTTGAGATGATTATGCGTGTCGACTCACCAGATATTCAACATGTTTTGTGGATTTTAAAGGTATCTGCAACTTTACTCAAGATGGATATTTTCTTCCTGCAAGTTCCGAGCACCGTACAATTGTGGCTGAAGGAGGTAGGTACACTCGTTATCAGATGATCTAGTTCTAGAAAGCTAAGTCCTTACGTCCTACAGACTGCAGTGGTGGATGAGACCAAGGAGCGCTTAAAGACGTTGGTGGCGATTGTTAAAGAGAAGATTGCCCCAACAGACCAAGGAAGCGTCCGCCAAGGCAAAGCCAAGGCTCGACCGCGTCTGCTTGGTGTAGTTCCGATCGTGAAGAAGCGGCGGAAGCGCCTGCGAAGTCGCCACCCTATCATCGACGCGTTTCTGAACGAAGAAGACGGCGCAGATGCCTTTGCTGATTTGGAAGACTTCATTGAATAGAAGGGGTCGCACTGGTGGTCTCCGGTAGTACTGATGTTTCTATTGATTGACTTTTGCTTTTTTGTAGTATTAGAGCTGGTAGTTGCGACGCACAAGTTTCGTCGTCTGCGGTGATTGGTTGGCCAAGTATTTAGAAAAGTCCTGCCATATAAACCAGGAGTGTGAGCCAGATCTCTTGGAGCTGATCAAGTTTGAGCCCAGAATTACGAACCTTATGTCGGATTTTATACTTCCTGGCCAACTCGTCGCTGATGCGCTCGCTCTCGCTTTTTAGTTCGCTGAACTTGGAGCTACAATCTGCAGACTGCGATAGGGGAGACGAGTTTTTCTCGCGAGTGAACGTCGTCATGCAGAAGCGCGTTTGTGGAGTCGCTAATGACGTCGCTTCTCCGTTGTCTTTGATATCAGCTGAGCTGGGCACTCGCGACGATTTGGATCTGCTTGACGAGCGATCCTCATCAGCCAAAGCTTGGAGGTGGTAGCCTTGCTGCGATAACGCGAAGCTCTCCTTCACAAGTTTCTGGACAATTTTATCACAAGATTAGTATCGCGATGCGGTGGAAGACTCTCGCTGTGTCAAACGTACTGCACATTTGGGATCGCTGGCGTCGAGGGCTTGCAGCCGTCGCTATTATCGAAATGGAGAATGATTAGAGAAGATGGATCTCTTGGTTGCTGAGAGAGGAAATTGACGTACTTGCATGGCTGCACATTTGTCAAAGCAGGCGGCGGATTGCTGTCGCAACTCTTGAGGATCCAGCAGTTCACAACAAAGCTGCTTCGACTCAAAGAGCTGAACAAGTTTTTAGGTTAAAGCTGTGGTCGCAGTCATGACATCACGGGGAGTGCGCAGGGTATCAAGAACCTCACCTGAACGAACGACTTCCACTGAATCTTGCCAGGTGTCGGGAGAATGCTCTCCAGGTATTGGAAATCGCTCTCTTTAGCTTCCAGCGGTAGTCCATTGCTCGAAACGGTGAAGCCACGCGTACGAAGGTATTAAAACACCTTTGCAAGGTTCCCCTGGCCGATTCCACTGGACGTATCGTACGTTGTGAGATCACGGATGATTCTTGCACAATTTTACGAGTCACGCACCCGTTCTTCACTTCTTCAAGCGATTGGAAATGTTTCTTCAGTGCTGTGACTTCCCAGTCACCCAAACCTGAAAGGCTATTGTCCTCTTTATTATTGTTGACACGCGACCTGAATCCTGACGTCGTGGATAGTGTTCCACTATCTCGACTAGGCTCCCGCAACTCTCGTTCGGCTGCCTCCCGAGCTTCCTTCTGCTAGCACACGAAATACCGTCAGTCGAGCCAAACAGCGTGGTGGTTCCGCCACGTATCATACATGTTGCTCTCTCTTGATAGCCGCGACCTCCTTGAAGAGCATCTTAACTGTCCCCGATAAAGCCTGTGATGGTGCTCCAGCTCTACTGAATGATTGTTTTTTGCTCTTCTGGCCTCCATGCTGGTTGGTACCGCTGTGTTCATCCCTATCTTCACCAAAACGAAGTTGCAGTCTATTGCGCAACGAGATGAGTTTCTAGCCTTGGCCTGTACAAGGACTCTTGTTTACCTGGCTGCTCTCGCGCGTTCGTCATCCGTGATGACATGTCGATCCAGAACGTCCAGTGACGGGATGGCTCGAATCACTTGCAAGCGATAGTTCTCCTCTTCCACGACGGGGTTGCCGAATAGATCGAGGTCTCGCAAGTGGGACAACCGGCTCAGAACTCGCAATGTACCTCGCAAGTCTTTGAGTTTGTTGCCATACAACCGGAGTTCCAGTAGAAATTTAAAGTGTGGCAGTGAAGAACCTTCAAGCGAGCTGTTTAATGAACCAGAAGTAGACTTGTTTATCGAAGTGAGCAGGCCTACAAGGCGTACTTTTGACGTACCGGATGCAATTGCTGTGAGCGAAGAGCTGCTTGAGACGGCAGCAACCATCCAGTGCGTCAAGTTCCTGAATCTGGCAGGTCGTCAAAGAAAGAATCTTAACGGAAAAAAGCTTCTGCACAGACGACGTACCTGGTTGTCATTGATCCAGAGCACTTCGAGGTTGACGAAAGCATCGAAGTTCGCAATTTTGTCGATGCGCTTATTGGCCATGTACAGCTCGGTGCAGTTTTTCACATACTTGTGATTCTTGATGGGCAGCTCCGCATGGGGATCCGAAAGCCGCCACTTTCGTGTCACGTTCGCTGTGGACATGACAGAGCTCGAAGAGCGATCAAGCTAAAGTTGTAGAATAAAGAAAATGACGGTGACGAGCAGATTTGAAAAGTTATTTTAAAGAGAACCCCGTTTTTTCTAACGACGCTTTTGCTCTAATTAGCTGGCACGTCATGGAGATCAAAGTAGTTTCAGCCACTGCTGTGTGCAGTCCCCCTTGATCACCACCGCCATGTCCCTTCCAACGACGTACAACGTGAGGAACAATAAGGCTGCTCTAGTGGGCAACTGGGTCGAGGAAGACGCTCTCCGTGACAAGACCGGTCACGCCCGTCGAAAGGTACCAGCAACTTACTTCGCACGAGGAAAGTAGTTTTCTTATCGCTCTCAATCTCTCAGCTGTGGGTTTCTAACCTGCTGCTCTTTGTGGATATCCAGATCGAAAGGAGTCTCGGATCGAGCCGACATACGAGCGTGTCCTCCTGCATGACACACCTGCCAAGATCACTTGCAACAGTCACGCCAGCGAGTTCACGCCACCTCCGTTCGAAACTACACTCCAAGCGAGCCACCGGTACGCCGACTACGCGGCGGATAAGCCTGGACCTGGACCTCGAAGCTCTCTTCGTGACCAGTACTTAGCTGAGACTGCCCAGCGTCTTCACAGTGAGCAGCGTGCACGCGAACGAGAGGAGCAACAAGTCGATTGTCACGAAGCAGCACGCACAACGATAGCGAAGAGTTCGTACTTACCGGTGGACACGTCGGCGCTGGTCAAGGAGCGGATTCCTCGAGGACGCAACGGTTCTCTGGCTCGTCAAGTGGACCCAACTATTCAGCATTTGACGAAGGCGCAGACTGACAGCATCGACCAAATGAAACTGGATCTAGTACAGGGCACGACTGTCACCAGGTACTCGTACGCAGTGACTACGGGGGTCGGCTTGAACTTTGCCACGACTGTCTCGGACGGGAGAAACGCCTTTGGTCGGTCCAGCACATTCACAAACGAGCTCAACGACCCGACCAAGCGCCACGGAGAAGCTACCGAGCCTGGTGCCATTCACGACGAAAGAATTGGCGCCAGTGTGCACCAACGCTCAGCGTTGAGGAGACTGCTGACTCTGCTGAAGGCAGATCCCGATACTGCTCGACGTCTTCTCGACACGCTTAGACACGGATCGGAGGCCAGAGCTGACCAGCCACAACAGGAGGAAGAGCGCGAATACATCGAACTGCACGACTTCCGCACGGCGTTCGTAGCCACAGGAGCTGCTCTCCATGTCAACAGCACCGTTCGCGGGCTGCCGACCATCTTGACCGACAAAGAAGTGATCCACATCTTCATGTACTTCGACGTGGACAACATTGGCGCAATTGAGCTTCGATCCGTCGAAGAGTTCTGCGGTGACAAGTTCCCCTTCGTCTCTCCTCAGACCTTGCCATGGGATCCTTACACTCGGACTTTACCAGCAACCGACTGCTAAATGCAACTAGTAAATGATCGTTGCTACTGCTTCAAAAACCTCTTGACTTCTGTTGAGTTGAGGAACTTGGCGTACAATGGCGCAATGTCGTTGTAGAAAGGATTCGGACCGCTCAGATTCGCTTGACGGGGCATTATTGTGTTGGTATTGACAGGAGGAGGCGGTGACGAAGAGGGCGTTGAGTTCCGTGCGTGTTTGCTGCTGGAAGCAGCAGTAGCTTGAGCTGGACTTTGAGGTGTTCGAACGGCGTCTTCCTTGCTCGTTACAACCTGGTTGTCTTTTTCTTGCTCGCTTGTCTTCTTGTCACCAGCTTCAGTAGTATCGTCTGCTGCAGCAGTAGTTCCAGTAGTGGCTTCACTTGCCAAGTCTTCACTGACTCGCGTATGTGGACGTGGTCGAGTTCGGTTGGTTATTGACGGTGGCCGTGGGCTTGGGGTTGGCTCCTTCGCACCCTCCACGACTGGATTACACCACGACGTGTTGAACCTTCGCTTGCGAAAGACAGGACGAGGCGCTCGAGGCTTGACAGCCTGAACCGCAGCGTCATAGTCCATGAAGAGAGTAGACGTAGGGTCCGATATGTATTCTGGTTGGGCGACGGGAGGTAAGATGATCGCTGCCGCCTCTCGCGAAGACACGATGCTGTATCGTGGGTCATAGTGTGTTGGACCTGGCTCTGGGCTCTTGCTACGCTGATCTGATGGTGCGTTGCGTAGCAGTCGTCTTAGCAACTGCTTGATCGTTATAGTCCCGTCAGGTCGATGCTCAGT